AGCGTCATCCAGATTGACAGAACCCTTGTGTAATTTGATCTGATTTCTGTGGACCCACTTATAGACGGGATCTTTGTTTCTTTCAGTGATCTTGATCTGACACACCATTGGAGAGAGTTTTTCAGTTATCAGGTGTGGACCAGACCACTTCAGCAAAAGTTTCTTAGCCAGTTTACCAGAGGTTGCTTTTGTGTGACCAGAATTAGGAGCAAAGATGTAGAACCAGGCCTCATCACCCACGTTGAGTTCAGAATGTGAGGCCTTCTGATCATAATAAGCCTTCCTGCCCTCAGCTGATTTCTCCAGATTTGTCTGTGCAAAAGAAAACGCTGCAGACAGATGGTTCTTCAGGTCCTGCAAATACTGCTCACTGGTGTAAGCCAGGGATTCCCTAAGTGTGGTGCGCGAACCCCTGGGGGTGCGAGAGCTGCTGCTAGGGGGTGCGCGAGGTGAAAAGTGTAATGACCGCGGAGCTCAGAGAAGTCTGTCAAAAGTCACCATTAGCGTTGCCAGTTACTCATTTGTGGGTGGGCCTAAGAAAAAGTAAGTGGGCCCAATAAATGTAATTGAAAACAAGTATATTTTGTGAGTGTGTGTGTGTGTGTGTGTGTGTGTGTGTGCTCCGCATGTGCCCTAGCTTCATAATAATAATGCACTGAGCTTGTTGAGAGCTATGTTCAGTATTTGACCATTTTAAACGATGTTGGAGAAATCTGAAGGTGGTGAGTCGTTCTGGCAGATTGTAATTAACACCTGTCTCATGCAGGTTTTCTGACATTGTAACCCTCACACACAGAACATTGTGGATGTAACAAAATAAATCAAGAAATGATTCCCATCCGAGCATTTTAGCATTATTATATTATTATATTAGCACACTGACTGTGGGACAGCATTCTAAACGTGTCAGGCTATTAACAGCGCGCTGAAGATCTGAAGTTCAGAGTGCGTCTGTCAGAGGTCAGATGCGTTCCAGCTGAACCACGGCTCACGGGTGCACAAGTGAGCACATCTGGGCTGGGCATAAATAATTTTATAACATTGGTTTAAATAGCGCCGATAACGAGACACGGTGACTGGAGCGGCTCATGGAGCTGTGCCGCACACGCACACAAACACACACGAAGATTCAATAAGCACACGCTGCGCCGCGCCGTCAGACTGAAGGCAGAAATGAGCGCTGCCTCCTCCATGATAAAAACTTTTAAGAGGTTTTATAATAACATTTTTATTCAAGGTCATATTAAGATATTAGCTTCTATTTTGGGATGACGTATTAAAATCGAGTCCGCTCCAGCCAGTGACTCCTCATGAACCTGACTACAACTCATGTTACTGCAGCATTTGTTGTTCCAGTCCGCGTGGCAGTGGATCGCAGATTCAGCCACACCATAAAACAAAAATGAGTCGGTCTGAGGCAAAAGTGAACCTCATGGCTATACCTTTTCCATCTTTTCCCCTATAGACATTTGATTACGCACAAGTAGGTTGCCAGTTCAGGTTTACGCAGAGCAGAAGGAAGGAGCGAGCTCTGGCCACAGGTTAAACGTTCCTACTTTAAGAAAACCGTTAAATTGCAATGTTGATGTGCTACCTGGGCACTCTAAATATTTATTTAAAATTAAATCAAAAGAAATTGTAATGGTATTGAATGTTTATTAATTACTACTTAAAAAATGAAAGTGATGGGGAAAAAGGTCGATCATATTTTTTTAACCCTGGCTGTCTAGTGACTGTTTAGCTTGACGTCTGATACATACATATATATATATATATATATATATATATATATATATATATATATATATATATATATATATATGTGTGTGTGTACAGCAATGCCCTGATGTGGGTGCTGGGGGGTGCGTCGACATGGTCGGGACATAGAAGGGGGTGCGCAGCTAAACAAGTTTGGGAACCGCTGGTGTAAGCCGTAGCTGCACTGGGCTAAACTGACTGGTACAGCAGGTGAAGCGGCAGGGTCATTTGTCTACCCGTCATCATTTCAAATGGGGAGACACCAGTAGACTCATGAGGAGTGGCCCGTATGGCCATAAGGACCAACGGAAGCTTCACATCCCAGTCTCTGTGATTAGAGGACACGTATTTCTTCAACATGCCAACAACAGTCCGGTTCATTCATTCCACCTGGCTGGAAGATTGGGGCCAATAACCAATGTGGAAATTGGCCTCGGCACCCAACATCCGCCAAAGATGTTCCATCACCCCAGAGGTGAAGTAAGTTCCCCTATCCGAGTTAACACCTTCGGGGAGACCGAACCGGGAGAAGATGTGGTTCATCAAGAGGACAGTAGTTGTCTGAGCCGTGTCGTTAGGTGCCGGCAAACATTCAACCCATTTGGTGAATGCACAGGTCACGGTCAAGTATTTGCTACCTCTGCTGGACTTGGTCAGGGCCCCCACCCAATCAAATTGCAGGTCCAACCACGGTGTGGATAGCCCCCTGCTCTGAAGAGGAGCCCTGTGGATGGGGTTAGATGGTTGAAACTGACACCAAACCAAATGGCTCCGGATGTAGTCTGAGACGTCTTGACGCATCCCCGGCCAATAAGCAACCTGGCTCCGGCCACCGAACGTGGCCTTGACACCTTTGTGCCCAGATGAAGGAGAATCATGAGCTTGTGCTATCATACCCCCTTAGGGACTGTGTTGCCACAAGGACAGGCGACGACGGAGGATTGGAGACGTGCATCAGCAACCCTTCAACCAGCCTCAGCGTGACACGAACCCGAAAGAGAGCACGGAGCTCAGGAACTGAGTCAAGAAGAAGGCACATGAGCCATCTGATCAGAAAGATACAGGATCATCCTGCTGATAGCAAGATTCTGGGACTAGAGGCTGACAAGGTCGTTGTTAGATAAGACTGGTTCAACAGACACAAAACCATCAGATGGTCGAGGGGTGGATGCCTTAGCGGCCTGAGCTCGAGTCACGACACACACATTAGGTGGGTCCGACCAAGAGGACACATCGTCAGGGAGCCACAAGGGGTTGAAGGACCATGGGGTACCAACAGCTGCACCTTGTTTGGCAAGAGAGTCTGGAAGATTGTTCAGATCCCTATCAGCTCCAAGTGCGTGAGAATGACCTTTGACCTTACGCCAATAGATCTGTATGTCATGTGATGTCGCCAGGGCATCACAAGCCATGAAAAGGTTGCAATATTTAACGGGCTAGAGGTTAAGAACCCATTACTTTTCCAAGAAGGTAAATGACAAGTGAAGCTGAGACGTGCATAGTCCGAGTCTGCGCAGATCACCATCTCGCGGACACCACTGTCTGCGGCAAGTTGTACCACAATCAAGATACCCCCCACTTCTGCAAACTGTGAGGTCTTAGGACCCAGCTGGTAACACCAAGAGTCTTTCCGGTTAGCGTGTAACCAAACGACACCCACGCCTGAACTAGGTTCAGCACCGCGTCAAAAAGAACTGCCATCAAAGTACACAGTTGGCATATTCACACAGAGAGCTGGATCAAAGTAGTGGTGGTTGGGATTCAGAAGAGTCTGGCGAGGGTTAGCTGGTAGGACAGACGCGACAGCGTCATCCGAGCAGTGCTGGCACGCAGCCAGACCCATGCCAAGAGGACTACGGTGGTTTTGCGCATAGCGCACCTCATTGTCGAAGCTCTGAAGAGAAAGCAGCCATGACGCAATGCGTGCATTGGTCACCACACCATCTCTGATGCGTTGACTGTTAAGGAAGGTCACTGGCTGATGTGTAGTTTCAATGATGATTTTCTGTCCTCCAATGTAGCTGGAAAAGTGTTAAACTGCCCACATGGTGGAAAGCAAAGCTTTCTCACAGTCAGAGTATCTTCACTCAGGACCGGACAAGAGCTTACCAGCATAAGCCACGACATGCCTGTCGCAGTCATACACCTGATAGAGACCGGCACTCAAACAAGCAGATGAGAACCCGACCTCAAGGTGGAACTCTTTGTCACAATCAGGAAGCGCTAGGCATGGAGCTGAGCACAGCGCGGCCTTTAGGTCATCCATAGCCCATTGTTGTTGCTCAGTCCATTTGAACGGCACATCCATTTTCAGAAAGGCAGTCAGAGATCTCGCTATCTCAGCGTAGTGTTCTACAAACTGGCTAGAGTAGTTGCACACACCTAGAAAACTCCAAAGTTCAGAGATATTCGTAGAAGGTTTGACGGTGGCCACGCCTTGAATTCTACCAAGTTGCAGCTGCACTCCCTGTGGTCCCACAAGGAGTCCAACAAACTGAACTTTCGACCTGCACCACTGACCTTTGGCGAGAGAAATCTTTGCGCCAGCAGCTGCGAGCTGACCCATTACATGGTCCAGCTCAGACAGGTGGTCATCCAAGGTACACTGATGTACGAGAATGTCATCAACATAGATGAGGGTACCTCACTCTCGAGCATCAGGGCAGGCTTTGTCCAAGAAGATGTTGAACTCAGCCAGTGAGTTGGAGTAGCCAAAAGGACACCAAGTGAAAGTGTACTGGCGGTTGGCAAAGGTGAAGGCCAAGTTATGTTGGTTGGACCTGAGGACAGGGATTGTCCAGAAGCCGTACGCAATGTCAAGAGAGGAGAAGTATTTAGCGTCCCTCACCTTCAGAAGTTCTTGTCCCAGGCGCGCCATCGGCCACCTAAACAAAGGAACCTGCTTATTGAGCTGTCTGTAGTCCACGGTCAGTCGCCACTTACCATTAGGTTTCCTCACTGGCCACAATGGAGCCAAGTAGGTGCTGTTGCATGGTCGAATGCTGCCTTTATCCAAGAGGCTGTCAATGATTTCCTGGACCGGACCATGGGATGCCAGGGGAATCTTGTACTGACGCACAAGTGTCGGTGTCGCATGTGGCGGCCTGGTTGTGAAAGGGGGCTAGACTGCGAGGTCTTTATTGTAATTATTCAGAAGATTCTAGCATTAAATTCAGAAGATCTAGGCTCTTTGATTTTTCAGTGATCAAACACACTTCGGGTTACTTCAAACAAGAGTCAAGTTTATAAAAGTAAAAATTTATTTGACAAACAATGAAAACATGTCTAATCACCTAAGCATTTACTGTGAGTGCATGTAACTAAACGTGCTGAAGGAACCTATGTGTAAATGAGATGTCAGTCAGAGCTTCCTTATCAAAATAAGCTGAGTTCTGGTGAAAAGAATTTGGTTTGCTCTAAGCTATAAAGTTGTTATCATCAGAAGAACATTCAGACGCAATCTGTCATGTCTACTTTACCCGTTTCATAGAGACCCTCTTGGTGGATCCGAAAGGCACAGGGGTCGGCTGACCGCTGGCACCGGAGGGCTGTAGAATACCGTGGTACCGACTCTTCAGTCCAGAGATGTCTCGGGTCACAACAGTCAGGATGGAACTCTTAAGGAGTCGAACTGTTTGCTCATCAGCTTTGCAGGTGCAAAAAGGTTTTGACGACGTGTCAAAATCTTTGATGGTTAAAGAGGTTTTGCTACAGATGGCCGGACTGAGCGATTCTCTAGAACTGTCGAATCTCTCAGAATGCTCTAGTTTTAAGGTTTAGCTGTTAATATTTGCACAGCCAATCAGAGGCTGACAAGTTTGGAGATGTTTTACCAAGACAACTCAGAAACACTTCTTCTTTGATATAGAATGTTCTGACTGGGTTAATACTATGTGTGTCAGGGTTTAACTTAGCCGTACTTGTTATGTGCGAGTGCAGGTGTGAGGACCTGTCGTCTAAACATGTTGAACACATGGCAGTCTTAGTAGACAACACTCATTTCCCTTCAATTATTGAGCACAAATTAATGAAGCATTTCACTATAATATAATGATTATAAGTAGCATTAAACAAACGTTTATTTAATGATTATCTAGATCATAAGTCTTGGAAGAAGTTCATATTGATTTATTAAATCATTGTTGAATTTAGCAACTGATTTGAGCTGGATCTTCTTTCTTCTGGAGGCAGACAGATGGGAGGGACCTTGGGGAAAGAAAGTTATTGTTTATCTTTCAGACTAGCGGAGTCTGTGAATGCCAGCTGGTGTGAAGCCAGACTCATTTAAAAGGAACACAAGCAATGTTGTGTCTCCTTTCTGACCAGATGTTGAATGGATGGTGAAAGGTCAGGCTGTACCTAAACTGACCATTGCTGGACGCTACACCTGATGTTCATCTAACAGAGATTCAGCGTAAACAGAAAAGCTAGAAGATCCAATCTGGATTTGGAGATAAAAGACAGAAAACATCTAACAGCTTTTCTGTTTTAACATCAACAGATCACCAGTTCACAGGAAATGGATGAAAAAAGTCTCAGTTCCTTCCTGAAGAAGCTCCCATGGAGCTGCTCTTATTGTTGTCGTTCAAGTTTTACATTGAAATTATTGATCATTTAAAGTTTTCTCCCAGAGATAAAAACACAGAAGCAGAAGATGTTGCTCTAAAATCCAGAAAAATAAAACATTCATCATCATGATCCAGTCTGAGTCTCTTTCTACACAAACTGCTGCTTCAGCCTCTGAGGACCATCAGGACTCAGCTCATCTTCTCTCCTGGTCAAAGGGTCAAAGGTCATCATGACTCCCACCTGTAGATAGAAGAAGAGAGGAGGTGACTTCCTGTTTCCAGGCTCTCTCCATCAGCTTCAGTCAGTGATGCAGCACATCCTCCATCAGCAGCAGCTTCATGTTAACGTGTTGGAGTGGAGCTCACACACCTGCAGAGACTTTTAGCATCAGGTGTGTTTCCTCTGCAACTGTGTTACCTCTGCAGGTTTGTTACACACACAGTAGGACCAAAGCCGGTGTATCCAGTCTTTAGTTCTAGTTTGAAAACCAAGATGGCGCCGGCGTTCTCAGCCTGCCGTCTGCTTCCCCAACTGTTGTTTTTGCTTATTTTGTTTCTGTGTTGCTCTTTGGTGGATTGTAGCTCAACTATTCGCTATGATCGTCTCACCCTCATTGAACTTCGGCATAATCTTGGATTTGCCTATCACCGATGTTCTAATCTAAGACTGTGCTCTAATCTGCTGTTCATTGCGTTCCCAGCTCTGCTGCTTTGCTCTCCCCGCATGGCATGGTGTTTCCTAGATAGGGGAAGAGGTTTGCTTTGGAGTTGGTTCTGGAAACTGCTCTTGTGTGTCACAAGCGTTGTTGTACCATATTCTGCGGCCATCAGATTCTGTGATTCCAAGCTGGAGCCTGAAGATTCCAGCCAGTCCATGATCAGAGTACCTTACTCAACGCCTTCAGGCTTCTGGCCACCATTACCCAGCCAGATCCAGGCTTCCGGCCTTAACCAACAAGCCATGGTTACCTAGGAGATGCCGCAGACTTGGAAAACGCAGGGTTCCATAGTGCCGCTCAGATCCTCCTCTGGCTTCTCGTGCGGATGTAACCTCACCTGCCACTGGAGTTGCTACACGAAAGTCATCGGACCTTTTGCATTCCATCGCTCTGCCTGTTACGTGCCGTGCCCCTTTTTGGCCCCAGAGGCCTTTGCCTCGCCTGTCTCCTGGTAACCAGCTGTTACCAATTACTGAAATCACTTGGCAGCTGTTAAAAGCTGCTTTCTTGCTCTAAGTCAATGAGAAGGTACAAGGGTAGAGTAGACTGGCAACAGTTTATTCTATTCTCTTCTACTCGCTCGCTCTTTTGGTAAAACTCAGAATAGTTAGTCTTCGGTGCTCTCGGTTTTTGGATTACGGATTTGGATTTAGGATTTTGACCATTTGGCTTATAGACTTCGGACCGATTTTGACCTTGATTTAGGATCTCCCCTTATATATATATATATATATATATATATATATATATATATATATTTATATTCTCGGTTATTAAATTCCCACCCCCTTCTGGGGTGGTGTTTTTCATTCTCTTTTTGTATATAGCTCCTTTCGATTTGTATATAGTATTGCTAGGACTCTTTGTGAATATTCCATTTTGTTTTTGTAATAAAATTCTTTGTATTTTAGCGACACAGCATTCTGTTTATTATTTAATCCACACACTACTTTTATTACTCCCCTGCTCATCTCTCCTAGAGAGCCGGGGACACAATACTGCCACAGATTCTCTGGAGAATCCAGTCGTCGGAATACTTCCCCCACCAGCTCGTGGATTTTGTGGGTGTGAACCATGCTTACATCTGCTATCCTACAGTGACCCAAGTGGCCCAGTTACCCTAGTCATCTGATTCCGGTCTTTCACACCTCTTCAGGGTTGCTCTCCTCAACGTCCGGTCAATTGGGAACAAAACCGCCATTTTAAGGGATTATTTTTTCCAGCATGTACTGTTAGAGCTCTGTTCCTCAGACTGTCACGTTTAGAACAAGCCCAGGCTCACTGGTCGTGGTGGCAGCTTGCCAACCATGTTCAGATCCTCCTTCCATCCTAAAACATGTACAACACCCGTGACTCCTACCAGCTTTGAGTTTATGGCTTCTGAGGTGGACTTTGGTCCTCTGCTGGTGTTTATTCTCTGCTAATGCCTACCTGAGTACAACTCAAATATTTCATCTGAATTTTTTGATCTTTCAACAGACTTTCTTCCAAAACTTAACCGTGGGATTATTCTTGGTGACTTTGATATTCATGTTTGCTGCCCTGACAAACATCTTGTTGGTGGCTTTTTTGACCTTTTAGGTTCTTTTGGTTTTCAGCAACATTTCCAGTCACCCACCCACTCACACTCGCATATTTAGGACTTGATTGTTGACTCTACATGTATCTCTGATCACTCTCCTGTTATTTTTAATATCTGTGGCTTGACGCCTTCCTCCTCTAGGCGGCACAATCAATACTTTACAAGAGTAATTTCCCCTTCCACCACCAACCTATTAGCATCTAGCCTAGCTGCTACTCTCTCCATCTCCCAACCTGATTCCACCTGTGCAGGAGTTGATGAGCTGCTGACCTCCTTTAACTCTACCTGCTCAACTGTTATAACACAGTTGCTCCACTTAAATCCAGGCACAAAAAAACTGCAGCAGACTCTTGGCTCAATGACGATACTCATGCACTAAGACGCCAGTATAGGTCCTGCGAACGTCAGTGGCGGAAGGACACGCTGCAAATCTCCTACCAATTATTCAAGGATTCCCTAACCCGCTATCAGAAAGCTCTCCGCTCGGCTAGGAATAGATACTATGCAGAAATACTCATTAGACATAACACCCGACTCTGGCTCCCATGTGCTGGTACTGTTACTCGACTTGACCACAGCATTCAACACTGTAGACCACACCATCTTACTTCACTGGCTTGAATCATGGGTGGGTGTGACCAGCACTGCCCTCGACTAGTTAAAGTCCTACCTCAATGATCAACGTTTTAGTGTCCATATTCAAGACTGCTCTTCTCCCAATGTCTCACTTCCAGGGGGAGTGCCGCAGAACTCCATCCTGGGTCCTCTCCTCTTTTCAGTTTACATGCTACAACTCGGTAAGTTTCTAGCAGGTCACAGAGTTAACTACACAGACGATTGCCAGACCTACCTTCAAATCAGCCAAAAGCGCTGAATTTCCGTATCAGTGCCGTGGGAACAAATTTTACTAAGGGGGTGCTGTGATCAGCCACATACAAAAAACTGCACAGGTGTTGAACATGTTTATATATAGTTATGTGTAATAGTAGTAAGCCTTAATTATTCTTGGTTCATTCTTCAACATATCAGCTTATTACCATCAGCACTGGAAAAACCCACAAATAACAAGTCAAAACTTCCAGAATCCACACCGAACTGCGCGTTGTCAAGGGAACTGATGCTCTGCAGATCTTCAGACAACAGATCTGACACAAAGTGTTTATCAACAGAAACAGAACCACCCTCCAAGAACATCTCCCTAAATGTAACGGAAACTAAAAACAAAACAGAACAATTCCAAATGTTGCTCATGTACACGTGACACCGCAGAAAACCTGTTTCAAACCAATATCAGCAAACATCAGTGCAGCAACAGTTCACCTTTCACAAGTTTTTAGCTCCATTTTGCACACTTTTTTTTACAGTTCTGCGTCTGAACGTTTGAACTTTAAGGATGTTTAACAGGGTATCTGCAGGTTTAAGGGAGCCAAATTTAAGACTTTTTAAGACCTTTTTAAGGCCACTTTGACCAAATTGAAGCTATTTTTCCAAATTAAATTTAAGCTATAATTTCCAACTATTGCCCGATTAGCCATCCAGTTACCATTAAACTTGCACTTCCCGATGGCGCAAGCTCCCACTAGCTTAACCAGCTAATGTGCTCACCTAAAAATAGCCCCCTTTCACAACCAACTGAATGCAGACCTGCCAACCTTGTCAAAAATTTTAGAGTACCACTTCTGTGGCATTTTTTCGTGGACTTTTGCAACTGCATTGCTTTTCACGCTATAATCTCCCCATTCACTGGATGGAAAATTTTATACACACACACACACGCACCCACCCCAAAATTTTACACACACACACACACACACAGCAAGGGTATGGGCTGCATGGTGGCGCAGTTGTTAGCACTGTTGCTTAGCAGCACGAAGGTTGCAGGTTCAAAACTCGGCTGCTGCATTTCTGCGTGGAGTTGCTTGTTCTCCCCATGCATGCGTGGGTTTCCTCCAGGTCCTCCAGTTTCCCCCACTGATCATAACATGCCCTATAGGTTATAAATTGTAAGTTGCTTTGGATGAAAGTGTCTGCCACATAAATAAACATAAAACATGGGGGTGGGGGGGGGGTTGGAAAACAATAGGTGTGAGCAGAAGCGCTCTTCGACGATTCTCGCCTAATGTGAACAGAGGAGGAGCGGACAGCGCTCGAATTTGGTGAGCGATCCACTTCACGGCGCTTTGCAGCTGGTGTGTTTCAGGTGTAACACTGCCACTAGCCTCGGTGTGAATTTGGACTCTGACCTCTCAACGACATCAATGTCACTGTCAGTTCCTGCTTTTGCCAACTCCACCGCATCACATGTCTTCAGTGTGATGCCTTCAACGAATCCTCAAACATCCGCATCTTGAGTCAGTCATTCACGCTTTCATTACTTCCCGTCTGGATTACGCACATTCTGTCTTAATTGGGATTAAAGCTTCTGCTCTAAACAGACTACAGAAGGTTCAAAATGCTGCGGCCAGAGTTTTAACTAACACCGACAGATACATGCACACAGTGGCGGTTTTACCATTAGGCATAGGTCGATGGCCGCCTGGGGCCCCCTTGTGTTGGGAGGCCCCCTAGCCCTGACCACCGGCACCCCTCTGTTAATGCCACAATATTCTTATTACCAACCTGTCACAGCCGACGGGATTGGACATGCGCACTTCTCATTATCATAAATCCGGTGAAAGCGGATAACGGAACTGGGAAGCTAATTAGCATAAAAAGCCGGCATGAAATTATGGAAATGCCTCAAAGAAAATCAACATGATCTATCAGGTGTCCCAGAAGGCTTATATCTGAAGACAGTGACCGCGAAAGAAGGACAGATCTCCAGTGAACCAGGGTATGAATGTTTGTTCAGTCTTTATTTTTTTATTTGAACAACCCTCAACTATTTGCTAATTGTAAGATTCAGCTTCATTCCAGCATTATTTATCGTTTTACAATGTG